TAAATTGGTCAAAGAATAGAGAAGGCAGATGTAGGATTAGATGCGATCGTGTAAAATGAAAGATAGAACTTGGGAGCCATGAGAAATGCCGCCGACTATGCATTACACGGAATAAAGGAACTATCTGAATAAAGAGGTGATTGAAGCACTTTTTTTTGTAAATTTTGCATGTCTCTGCGAAGCTAGATATCGATATAGAATTTAGTGAATCAGCATCGAGTGACACCAACGATTTCTATGCTAATCGATCATCGCAAAACACGTTGCTGCACCGTCAGGTAATTGCGCGTTTTTTCCCTCATAAGAAGGAAACATCACGGTCAAAGTTCAACATTTCCATGCAAAGGCGGGCAAGACCCAGCAAGAAACTTCATCGTGGCTTTTTGCTCTGAGACCGCTCGCATGCTCGCGCCGTCTATTCTCCCCTTACTTTACTTTCTTTCTTTTTCTTCCTTCCCCTCCCTCTGTCTCTCTCTCTCTCTCTCTCTCTCTCTCTCTCTCTCTTCTCTCTCTTTCTCCCCTTACATTTCTTCCGCTTTAAGGTGCACGTCCCTGCCAGAGCAAGTCCAGAGGAGGGACCTATCGAGTCGCTATTCGAATGCGGCGCGCGTAAGCGAGAACATCCGGTTGCGACGACGTGCGGCGATTTTTGCGGCGCTCATGAGCGACAAGGTATTTTCGACGCGACCTCGACGCAGCGATTTTTCCTCTCGGGAAAGTCGACAGACTAATCGTCAGCTGAGCTCGGCGCGAGCGACAAAGTCGCTATACATCGTGTCGTCCTTGGCGAGTAGTAGCGCGTCGCGTGGGCTTTTCGACAGAGCCGGCCAAAGTTTCATTCATAGGGAAACTTCGACGATTACGCGCTCCCAAACGGCACGGTGAAAGAGGAAAGCTGTCGGACGGACGGACGTCACTTTTGCATCGGCGACCTTAATGCGTTGCAACATGCAGCCGAACGTCCCTCTAAGCTCGCATCAAACGTAGATAAATGAAAGAGCCTGCGGGAAACTGGCGCGCTCCAAGAAGCTTTGTAGGAATGAGTGATAAGACTTGTCCGACGAGATGTTACGTGAAATGTCAGGAAGCAGTTTCGTGTAAATTGTGTCGTACACATATAAAATATTGTAGTAGAAACTGCAATGAAATCTTTTTTTTATAATCGTGGATCATACGGAAATATGTACAGAAATACAGAAAAACTGTGTATTATTTTCAAAATATTACTTGTGATTCTTTTTGCTACGTTATGATTACTTAAAAATGCTTTGTTATTTTCTTCCAATTACTATTTCTATAGTAATTCTATAATGATTATATACTGTTCTTGTATGTAAAATTTCTCTTGTATCAATAGACACGGTAGTGTCTCGCGCCAAGTGCACGCGAAGCGAGCAATTTGTAGAAAATCCTTTCTTTTGTAGAATTTTTATTTTGTTTTTAAAAAAGGTTATCGATACGAGTCGCGTACACTTGGCGCTTTTTTTAACCTTATTTTAAATAAGGTAAGATTTTTACGATGTAATATTACACTAGATAGTGATTCTATTTACTGTTTTTACAGTAATTTATCCTGCAATGTCGGGTCCAGCTTTACGAAATATTGTGAAAAGGAATATATAATTTTAATGTAACTTTTACCACAATATTTTCCCCAAACTCGTATTTTTGTTTCATGAACGACTTTAATAATTGACTCGATCGAAATATTCCTTTCGCTCAGACATAGAAAGACATCTCGTGGGATGAACCGTGAATGATTGCAACGATTAGTCAACCGCATGCAAATCGGAATACATCACATTTATTCTGTCACTGGTGGCTTCTGTGTCTGATAAATTTGGCACTCGTGATCTCACGTTTCCGGAACTTTTTGCATATACGCAATTCCGATGAAAGTTGCATACGAACATTTGGCAAGGACGGAAACGGTCGTGCACACGCGGATTCCTGGAAGCGACCTTCGAGCGAATTGAGTCGTCATCAGACGACGCATCGCGAAATCATTTCCGCAAAATTTATTTCAATGGGCGAGATTCTTGCGTCGTTAAAAACACCGCTAATTTTACCTAATGTGCAGCGCCGTAAGGCCTCCGTAGTCGAGTACGCCGTTCTTGGCGCGATCCTGGCATCCAGAATAGACGTGCTATTTTTGGTAACGCATTGAGAACTATTTATGTCCAAGGGTAAATATATCGACAATCATATACGGCTGTACGGCTGTACGGTTAAGAGTCAATGTTTCCTCCATCGTGTCGGCAAGTCGCCCACACGATTGAATTATAAAGCGATCGATCGACGCCCAAATAAAACGCCAGCGAGCGACGTGGAGAACACGAACAGATTTCAACGTCGCCTTTAGTCAGGCACATCGAGCGGTTCTTCACCGCGCATCAACCGTATTGACACTTTAACCTTTAACCGCCACTTTCTTCACGCGCACGTGACTCCATCGCGCCAGCGATTATCACCTCATAAAAAAGATCTGTGAGCAATAACAATTTAATACGATGTCGCGAATGGATTCACTTCGTGTACAAGAAAGATACTCGTCCGTTTGAACGAGCGGTGAGAGCGAGCCGCCGCGGAATCTAGCCGGCGAATCCGCAGGAGAAAATGTCCGTGACGAGTTCGGCCGTCAGAGTTTCAGGATCAAGTCACGTGATACTCTGCCTGAATATCGAATGAAGAATTCATTCGATAGCCGGATATGCATTGATGCAACGGATAGCCGGCAATCGCGGCTTCAATAACGTGTAGACACGCATAAGGGCATGTAACGTGGATAATAGGATGATCCTGCGGCTGCCCAGGGCGATGTCTAAATGCGCATAGTCAAGTGGGGGACCGGCACGGAGCTTCATATACCGACATACTCACACTCGATCGCGTGCACAAACACACGGACACAGCGGACGAGTGATCGCGGGGTATCTAACTAGAGGAGCCGGAAGACAGAGTGTATCATAACGATCGGTCTGCCCGAATAATTCCCGGATAAGTTTCGTACGTGCGGAGAAAGTGAAGGCGCGCTTGCATCTCTACGGCCTCATTATAGATCGCATCGCGCGGGTGGAAATTTACTGGAATAGACAGCGACACGTTCCGCCCTCGCGATTTCCCAAGGACCGCCGTCACCCCCGTCGCGACTCACGTCCGCGATAACAGGCAACACTTAATTTTTTTCACCGTTCTTCCGCTTCTCGCGGCGGAAGGCGAGAGAGGGAGAGATAGAGCGAGAGAAAGAGAGAGAGAGAGAGAGAGAGAGAGAGAGAGAGAGAGAGAGAGAGAGAGGAAGGGGCAGGAGAGGGAGAGATGAAAGCAAGATGAGAGCACGAATCAAATAAAATAAATCAAAGCGGCGCCGTCGCGGCGAAACGCTTAATTGGTTCGTTATACTTGCTGCATGGAAAAAGAAAATCCGCTGACACTTGGTGTCAAATATTCCGCTCGTCCTTCGCTATTTCGGCGTCCCGGCGGCCGCGTTGCGCTCCGCGTTACTCCCTAGACACCCGTATTGCATTACACGGAAAAATGCTTTGTAAGCGCTACACCATGTAACGTGGTAACCGACGGGAAAACAACGCGCAAAGACACAGGTCGCTCCTGACGGACAATTTGGGCCCGCGCCAGGCCGACTGCCGAGGCTAACGACATTGGAATACTCGTCGAGTAATCCGTCCGCGCGCCGTAATAGACGTTCGCGTTGCGAAATTCGCAGGCGAGCGCGGCGCAACACGCGGCGGCGCGGCGGCTGGGAAGGGAAATCCGCCGCCACGTGTCGCGCGCCGTTCTCGGGACGGGTTTTCCCAGCGGCCGCACGAGGCTGCAGCGAAACGAAATATCGCATCGTACGTGTTGATCATTATTATTATTCAACGCGGTGTTATTAACCACGCGGGATACTGTGATACCCGAACATATGTGCGGTTTCACAAATCGGCTATACCGTAACATCAAATTGCACGCATAATTATTCGCTCATTGAGTTGCAAAGTATCGCCGTGATTATAAATTAATCGCCGCTGTCGGTTAACCGTAATCGCGGTTATTTAAATAAATATCCTCTAACGGTCATCGTTGTTCCGAATACAGTCAGTAAAATGGGTTTGCCCGCTCTCGTTATTGCTCTTCTTACGCCGCCGCTTGTATTCGGTGTTCCAAAGGACTGCGTTATATTAAATCTCTCTCCCCGTGACGCCGCGTCGTCGCTTCTCTCTCGTTATTAATGCCTTCAAAGACTGGCTCTAAAAATCGACTTTCCTTCTCCGCCGATCTGACTCCGCGATTCTTTTCATTTGATCGTCGCCTCGTTAATCCTTAAACGCTAGAATAGGGTGGGAATATATATTTTTTAATTGTTAATTCATTGTTAATATTTGTTTAATCATTGGATATAGCAGCACGTTACACAGCGGTATCCTGCTAGGATCTATAATATTCATAAATATTTATAGTTTATGTACATTCAAAAAAAAATAAAAAAATTACAGGTGGAAATTTATCTGTCTTAGTAATAGGAGGTAACAAACGCATCCTAGTGTTCAAGGATTTATCGTTGCACGTTGGTGCGCTAACGAGAAGGGATTGCTCTCTTTTCTTGTCCGTTATCGCATCGTGAAAAGTGAAGTATCTCGCGACAAAGAGAGAGAGAGAGAGAGAGAGAGAGCGGTAAAACGAATAAGATGCAAACCGCATGAATGAAAGGGTTAACAAGAGCTCTGACGAAATAAAAAAGTTCTTCTCCGTCAAACAAAATGTCGTGCGTAACAATGAGAATTTTACGCTCGTAAAGCTCGCGTTTGCCAGCCTAACCATCTAATAGCTTTACCCTCTCGCGCCCCATATCCGCGCTGGAGAACGAATTGCCAGGGGCACGACCGTCAAATTTGTCACTCATCGCCCGCATCCCCCTCGTGCGTACTTTATGGCGCAGTGGTCGCTAACGGCTGGCTGGCCGGCCGGCCGGCTGACCGGCTGGTTGGTTTCTCTCGTTTCAGCTGATAAAGGTATGCTGCTGAAGCTCGACTTTCGGGACAAGTTCAAGCTCGAAGACAGCCCGAACTGCCATTTCGATTTCCTAGAGGTACGTGACGGCCAGCACGGTTACTCTAATCTCCTCGGCAACTTCTGCGGCCCAAATTTCCCCCCCGAGATCACGTCGAAGACGCGCTACCTCTGGCTGCGATTCCACAGCGACGAGAACATCGAGGGCGACGGCTTCAAGGCAGTGTGGACCATGATACCAAGGCCGACCCATCGTAAGTTTCGAAATCACGGAGCTTCTTCATTCACCGGGCGTATCCTCCTTTCACGGTCGGGCGCTACGTTTTTAAGCTAATTACGGATTAAATTCCATTTGCTTTAATTTCATTTAAGTTCGAACTGAAATGCAGTTTAACGCCATTCTCGAACACTCTCTCGGCAAAAGCGCAAGCAAGCAGCTTCTGGAATGTCACGCTCCATGTTGTTGATACATCCCTACAAAGGAAAAAAAAACATCTTTCGGCAACATAGCGAGAGAGAGAGAGAGAGAGAGAGAAAGAGAGAAAGAGCAGCTGAAAGCATTTCTTCAACCATAGTTATTAATTTACGTGACGACGCGAACTACGCTCGTCGAGTCTACGTCGAGAATATTTCTGAAAAAAATTATTTCGCGAGATTCCGGTAATATATTGGGTTGGCGACTAAGTGATTGCGGATTTTAAATAAGAATGAAAATTCAAAATTTTAAATTTGCTATTTTAAATTTTTTTCAATGCATGCATGCGATACATTGAGCTTCTCTGCAATATCACGTGTTGTGCTATGACGATCTGAATCGATAATGGCCTTGATATGGGTCTCATCGACTTCAACTGGACGGCCAGATCGTTGAGCATTTCTCAATGAAAAATCACCAGAACTAAATCTGGCAAACCAATTTTGACACTGCCTTTCTTTCAAGGCTTCATTCCCATATACGGCACATAACTTCTTGTGTGCTTGCGATGTGTTCTTGCCTTTTCGGAAATAATACAATAAAATATGTCTGAAGTGCACGTCTTGCTCTTCCATTTTTAAATTGGGATAAAAGCAAAACTAAACAACTAATCGATATAATTTTTGTACTAAATGAAAGGTAGAAGTCCAAACAATAAGAAAAAAATATAGGTTAGATACTTTGAACACGTTAACGAAACAAAAGAAAGTGTAAAATCCATCTGTCGACAAAATCCGCAATCACTTAGTTGCCAACCCAATAGAACCCTTAAATTTAATTAATATCCTTATACGTCTTCCTCCCCACCCCCTTTCTCTCTCTCTCTCTCTCTCTCTCTCTCTCTCTCTCTCTCTCTCTCTCTCTCTCTCTCTCCCTCCCTCACTATACACACAGCCAAAAATTTGTCTCGGACATGGACTTTACTTAACTTTGATCTATCGCCGGCCGTTTCCCGGACGCGAGGCTCGTATATCCTTCAGACGCGAAACCGCAGGATACTAAACCGATCGATAACGAGAGTTCGAGATCTTCTCGGTACGTGCTCGTTCGCATGATTCTCGCGTACGTTGCAAGAGCGAAGGAGATAGAGAGAAAGAGAGAGAGAGAGAGAGAGAGAGAGAGAGAAAGGGAAAGGAAGAGAGAGAAAGAGAACTTGTTGCTGCGATAATTGACCCGACATAATGGCGATTGAAACTAATTTGCTCGGTATACCTCCTGTTAATCTAATAACACATTATAATGACTTGACCGTCGCATAACGGAAACACAATTAACCTCCTCGCCGAGCGGATCATGTCGTTTGTGGTGCTGTGAAATGTTCAGTTCTAAAACTAACGTTGTAAATGAGAACCAACGATAACGACGCTTGACAGAGACGCGCGATGGCCGCCGTATGTCGTTGCAAGAGGAAAAGCGAAACGAAAGTGTTCGCGACCGACGGCGCGGTGAATCGTTTCAACGTTCGCTGACTACGACGAATTGTCGCATTAATTTACACGGCAAATTGCAGCGCTAAGGTTAAACCGAGCTGCGGTATCTCTTTGTGGCAGCGCCGTAAACGGGACAGAGGCGCCGCGGGAGAGTGGAAGCGATGTAACGAGCGCGGTAACAATTAACGATTCCCGGCGATTCGCGGATCGGCGACGAATCGGTTGTGAATATTCGCGGAATCCACGTGTCGCGTGTTCACGCTGAGAAAATTGCGAGACGCTTCGGAAATAGATGGCCTGCGGCAGCGACGAGCGCCGTAGCGTGCGGCCGTGACCGGGGCCAAAATTAATTCATAGTCAGCCGCTGGCGGAATGGAGAGGGTTATGAATACGCGAAATACAACCGCGGCGAGACCGGTTTTAATCGGACGTCGTCCTTAGATCGATACACCGGCTGGGAATGGAGACGGGCGCGGTCAACGCGATCAAACACTGAAAGTTTTATTTGCTCGGCGGTTGATTAACTCGATCGTTACAGAACTCCAATATTGATGTTCAATATTGGAGAACGTCTGGCATCGTGGACGTCGTGGCCACGGTATCGCCACATTTGACGCTTTCCGCGGTGTGCTTTTGTTAATGAACGCTCGCCCTTTAATGAAACTAAGAAAGGACGGGCAAAATGCGAATTGGAAAACAGGCGTCTTCTCTGCGAACTTTGCCGCTTCGTGCTCCCCCTTCAGTATCGCGATCAAAGTCGAATAAGTTAAGCGCAATCCTATATATATGTACATATACATATATTTCGCTACGAAACCAGACTGCACAACGCGATATCACATCTGTGTGAAATGGATTGGGAATGGATTTAAAAAAGGTACACAACGATGTATCAACGACGTCTTATGCTGCCTCGGGAGTTTATTGTTTTCTAATATCAGCCTCCTCTCGCGAGCATTCGACTTCAGCCATTAAATCTCACTCGTTAAACTTTTTTCTCCCATCTATTTGCCATTTGCGAAATTTTTCATCGCTGTAGCAAAGTAGTATTTGACACACACTTAATAGCACACTTGTTTTAGAAGAGATTGTTAAAAAATTCTTTTAGAGGAATATTTGGAAGAGTATGGTATGATGTGAATGTGAAATGGTATGACGAAATTATTTAAACAAAAGTAATCATATTTTTGCTGGGAATGTTGAATTCCTCTCCAGAAGATTTCGCAATTTGTCGTTCTGTCGCTGTTCTGTGCAAGAACACCGTCGGTTACGTCCGACCGTGATCGAAGGACTTACGCCGCCGCGCTATAGTTGTCTGTAACTACTTGTCGCGCGCGCCTTAACTCTGTCCGTAACTACTTGTCGTGCACGCAGACGACAGCAATTCAAGGATCAGTCGAGAGCACTACGCGCGTAATAGTATAGCTCTCATTCATTATTAATAAGGGTCACATCGAAACCGCTCGAGCGTCTTAACTCGGAGAAAAATCGGCGTAGAGATACACGGAGCGAGAGTCGATTTTCCATTAGTGTTTATCCCGCAACAAGGAACTGCGTCAATGCGCGAGTGTTTTACGCTTTATAACACATTGGAAAAAAAATAATATTCATTTCCCTCACGAAAATATTATAAACGAATTTATTAGGTCATTTCACGCTTCTTGCTATATTTAATAATTACCGATTATTGACGAGTTATTAGCGAATTAATTAGAGATGTGCAAACTATTCGAATCTGAATAATTACTATTCAAACTCGAATTGCAAAAATTTAGATACAAATCTCGCGTATTAGCGATCGTGAACATTCCTTTTAAAACCCGGCGAATAAAAGCCGATTTAAAATTATCCACATTAATGTCCGGCTGCTGTAGACCACGCGTTACTAATCGCGTTGTTAATTAAAATCTAAATTTCGACGATACGATTTGACTCGATTAGACTCGACATGGAAAATCCTTGATTATTTTGTATATATTCGTAGTGAATCATTTATTGCTTTCCTCGTTAACGAGCTAATTCGTCGTAATTTGCCGTCGAGACTGGAAACTACAGTAGCAGTAGCGATGTAACGACAGACGGTCGAGCATCGATACGAGCGTTCCCATGCGAGCCTAGGGAAAGTGTAGAACTGTAATAGGTGTGATTCACAGCGGGCGTACCACCGGAACCAGAACCGTGCATAGTTAATGTGACGGGTATGCAGGCGATAATTCATAGCAACGACGTCAAAGACAGGAAGACCCTGGCCGAGAAAGAGGGAGTCGCGCTGGACTGCATGTGGGTCATTCGAGTGGAGGACGGATGGAAGGTATTTCTTCGTTCGTGTCGGTTGCCTTCGCGATTAGTCCACATTGGGTGAACGCGTCAACCCCCGTCGGTATCCCCGATCGGAATTGAATATCGACGTACGAGGCGTGAAGCGTTTCTCGGCCGCGCGATATCCCCTTACCGCCGCATAATGTCGCAATCCTCGTTCGATTGCTGTTCGCTTCACCGCGGCGTCGAATTGATACGAATATTTGTTATTGGCCCGCGGCAACGTGACTTCAAATGCCATTTCACTCGCGCGGTAACGCGTTTCTGAATGATTTACAATAGTTTTCCGCTGTGTGCGCCGCGAGAATACCGGGCTGGTTTTATGGATGCTGCGTGTGCTCTTACTTTCACGATATGCATCGTCCTTCGCATTTCGTATCGTTTACACCGCCGCTAATAACGGCGTTTCCGTGCCTCGGCAGCGTGAAGGAATCTTCCGGTTCGCGAAAGTTCGCTACTAAAATTTTCCAACGAACGAAACCGACGCTTCTGCGAAGCGGCCGCCCGAAACTATGTGTAAAATTAGCCGTTTCTCCTCGAACGACGAAAGCCAATATAGCGCGAGAAGTCGCCGTTTTTTCCAAGTCAAGCTTTCGCCGGCATTCTCGTAAAAAGCTGTATCGCGTGCGACTTCGTAATCGACGGCCATTTCAACTACTGCTACGCACACTCGCAAATTCTTCGTGTCGCGGTTATATTTCGCATTCTCCCCGGTTGCGTCTATGACGTTCACCTCGGAAACATTATGCGACAGCCGTTTATTTCTGCACGACCGAGAGAGGCTCTGTCTGCCATGCGGATACAAGTGCTCGCGATTCTGCAATTGTAACGCGAGCGACGAGCGAGCGAACGGGCCGGGCGCGCGTCGCTTAATTGCGTCGCGGGATTCTTTGAGTCGTCACAGTCTCGGTTCCTCGGTCTCGACCGCCTAAGGGCGGCAAGTCGGATGTGTGCACTCGGGAAAGTGGGAACTCGTTGCAATTTCCAGATCCAGCTGACGTTCGACTCTTTCAAGCTGCAGCGGCCGAACGAGTGCGACGCCAACTTTGTGGACATATTCAAGGATCGCACGGACATGTCCGCGAGGGAGAAGAATTTCTGCGGCAGTATCGCCGACACCGTTGTACTTTCAAACAACATCGCCCACATGAGATTTTACGCAGAACCGAAGGCTGCCAACAGCAGTTTCGAGGCGGTGATGACCGCCATCAGGGACAAAGAGGGCGGCGAGAAATGTGAGTGTCCGAGTGGCAATAATGAATGCACGTATGTCTTTGGTCAATGACTGCCAATTGCGTTTCTTAGCCTGCGAATTACAACGCTCAAAAGAATTATGGCACAGATAATTTATTTCCGAAAATTGGTCAACTCTGACTGGCGATTACTTCGCGAAAAATTATTGTAGACTAATGATTTTTTTTTTTCAAAATGAAGCTTGAAGTCTCTCTCTACTTTAAGAACGTATCTACATTTTTTGCATGCGACGCACCCCTGCCCCTGCAACCCCTGACATCTGAGAGCATGTTTGGTATACTGAAAATTGCAAAGTTTGACGGAATGCACGGATGTGGACAATCTCTTTTCGGGGACGTCGTTTGTATCATCATAAAGTTCAAATCTTCCCCTTCAATTTGAAAAAAATGGAGTCTACAATTTTTTTCGCAAAGTTACGGTCCTTCAGAATACCTTCATACGGAGCCGTGGGGAATACGGAGAGAGTTTGTTTGCCGATGCTAGAAATGTTCGCTGTGGTCAAAACACGAGCCAGGAGCTGAAAAACATGCGCGCGTGCTTGCATGCGTATGTCAACAAACACTTTTGCCGTTGCTCCACTACGATTTCCAGGCATTTAATCCGCCGGCCGGTACTTGGTACCGGCCCAAAGGTCAAAAGCAGCGATATTTTTGAAGGGCTGTAACTTTGCGAAAAAAAATTGTAGCGGCTCCATTTTGTTTTCAAATTGAAGGGGAAGATTTGAACTTTATGACGATGTACACCCCGGCGCCCCCGAAAAAAAATTGTCCACGTCCGTGCATTCCGTCAAACTTTGCAATTTTCAGTATACCAAACATGCTCTCAGATGTCAGGAGTTACAAGGGTAAGGATGCATCGCATGCAAAAAATGGAGATACATTCTTAAAGTAGAGACTTCAAGCTCCATTTTGAAAAAGAATCATTAGCCTACAATAATTTTTCGCGAAGTAATCGCCAGTCAAAGTTGGCCAATTTTCGGCAATAAATTATCTATGCCATAATTCTTCTGAGCAGTGCAATTCGATTATTAACCCTTTGGGAACATTTTGAAGTTTACTTTCGGATCTCTGAGTCAAGTTAGTCGAAGGAAGAAGTAACTTGTAAATCGAAAAGCGATGGACCGGGAGAAATTAAATCTGATTTACCACCATTGCTAAAATATATGAAGAAATATGAGCGTATAACTGTCCATTGTAATAACTGACAACTATCAATAATACTCACAAATATACTGGAGTGTAATAATTATCCAGTATTATTAGGAACAGAACCGAATTATTAACCGTATTATCAGTAGCAGAATCGAAAGTGTAGGACGAAAAAAATCCGTCAGACGCGTATACGTCTACTTCGTAGATTTTTACTCGCATATTACGGGGACGTCCATTTTGAAAATACCACGGTCACCGTGGTAACTTTCCTTTCGACTGAGCATATCGTTAATCTTCAAAGGGTTGAAACTCACGCCTCCGTTGCGATCGACGTCGCAAGGCGCGCTTTGAATTAAGAGTCGCTGTCAAAAGTTTATATTAAATACGATAAAGTATGCTGCTGAATGAGAAACACCGCGAAACTTCGGCGCAGCTTTCGAATAATGGCTACGCAATTTTAACGCGCCTACCGCTTTTGTGACGATCGCGAGCAACCGTTCGCGGGAAAGAGTGTGCTCCATAACGATAAATAGCGTTGACAATAATTACCGCACTTTACGTTTTTGTTGAGTCCAGTATGTGTAGGGCTATTAAGTAAAAAAAGAAAAAAAGAGAGAGAAAGAAATTTGTATGAAGACTAGAATAGAAATTTTAAATGACGTCAGATCCATCTGGAATTTATCGAGTAAACTGGAATTCATATTCGAACTGGTGTCTCTGCCAAAAACTCTCCGGTACGTTTTGTATGCAATCAATATTTTTGATAGTTTTTAACAAGGGCATACGAGCTCGCTTTCGGTCATTCAGACTACGCTATTCCACCGATCGTTGCGGTTAGACTAACAATGCGGAAATTGCCTATACCATACCCCAAAAGTATCAGCGCTGCAATTCCACAAAATTTTTCCCCGGTGTCCCGCTTATTGCATAGATTTTTGTTTTACAGCCTCGCGCTTTATTACAGAAACGTTCATTTGAAAACATAGCCGCGGCAACTTTTGTTTTAACCCGCACGGTTAATTCTGCGCGAAAAAAATTTAAAAATTACTGAACAATATCTGGAACGCGTCGTTTCCTATATTAGTAATATTCGTGAATTATTATTGTTACTTAAGGAACAATAATACGAATAAGATTACGAAATATAGTACACGGCTGAGACATGAATGAGTGCCAATATATACTTTTTATCCGTTAAAATTAAACTTTTTATATTCCAGCTTTCGCTCGCGCGCGCGTGCGCGCTCCTCCCCTTTCTCTTTCTTCCTTTCTCTTTTTAAAATAAGTGCTTCATATTACCAACGGCCGATGAATTTTTCAAAGGCCGAGCGATATTAAGTTATTACAAGACAAAGGCTCGCATTTGAGCACTTTAGCCTATAATTATACGCAGGCTTCATTCAATAAGTATCTTACAGCCGGCGAAGCCGCTCGAGGATAATCGTTGGGTAAAGGAATCAAATTTCGAATTAATAGCCGCGCACTCGTCTGAATGTTAAATGAGGTGGCCCGCAGAATCGTAGTTACGTGTGCGGAATTCACGGGTTCTAGTATGGCACGCGAAGAATTTTCAGCTTTCCGCACCTGCCGCCGACGCGGAACTAATATCGTGCTAGGGACTATATCCCGCTGTTCGGCAATTCCCTTATCCTAGCTATCGTCGAACGATAAAGCTTTAAGTTATAATTTTCCCATGCACACTCAGACTATCACGATTATTTCACGGGACGGTTCACCGTAGAAGCTTACTAGGTGCGCAACTAAGTTTCACACATGGATGACGCTAACGACACATGTAGTCGACATACATGTCTGAAGTTGTGATTTTTTATACCTGGGCTATCTGTTAACAATAACCAGTCGTAATACCAACACATATCGCAACGCAAAAATATTTTTTCTAACAACGAAGACGTCGAGTTTTGTGCCAAGTAAACAGTATTTGCGGGAAGCTTTGCTTTTCTGTTTTAACTTGAAAAAAGTGCAGCTGAAGCACGTCGTTTGTTTGAGGAAGCCTACGACGAACATGCAACATCGAAAACTACCTGTGAAGATTGGTTTAAACGCTTCAGAAGTGGCGATTTCGACTCTGAGGACAAGGAGCGCTCCGGAAGACCAGAAACAATTGAGGACGCCGATCTGCAAGCGTTATTGGATGAAGATGATACGCACAGACAAGATCAATTTGCGGAGACATTAAACATGACTCGCCAAGGTATTTCCAAACGTTTACATGCCATGGGAAAAATTCAAAAGGAAGGGAAATGGGTGCCGCATGAGTTGACTGAGAGACAGATGGAAAATCGAAGAGCCACTTCCGAAATTTTGCTTTTGCGGCCTGAAAGAAAGAGTTTCCTGCGTCGAATTGTTACTGGCGATGAAAAGTGGATATATTTCGAGAATCCCAAAGGCAAAAAATCGTGGCTTTCACCTGGCGAAGCATCAACATCGACGGCAGGGCCAAATCGCTTCGGAAAGAAGACAATGCTCTGCGTTTGGTGGGAACAGAAAGGAATCGTGTGCTATGAGCTGCTGAAACCGGGTGAAACTGTCAATGGGCATTGCTATCGACAACAACTGATCAATTTGAACCATGCATTGCTCGAAAAATGGTCAGAATAGGACACGAGACACGAGTGATATTGCAGCACGACAACGCTCCGTGCCATCGCACTTCCATCGTCCAGGACACCATGAAAACGCTGAAATGGGATCTGCTAGCGCACCCGCCGTATTCGCCAGACCTGGCCCCTTCCGATTATCACTTGTTCCGGTCGATGGCGCATGGCTTGGCTGGGCAACACTTGGCCAATTTCGAACAAGTGCAAAATCGGTTGGATGAATGCTTTCGGTCCAAAGACGCGTCGTTTTATCGTCGCGGTATTCATGTATTGCCAGAGAGATGGCAAAAATGTGCAGCTAGCGAGGGACGATACTTTGAATAAACCATTTTTTGTATTTCTCTTGAAATTTTCCATTTTTCATTGATCAAAAAAGCCCGGAAACTTAGTTGCGCACCCTAGTAAAAGAGATTATAAGCTGAGCGTAAATCTGCTGGGAATTTTACTTGTATGTAACGTGCATATATACGTATATAAATATGAAACGCGGGACGCAAACCGGACTAATATCATAACAAAACACTACACGAAATGATTAAAGAATTCAATCGAGATATGATTGAGACATATACATTTAAGAAAGCAGCACGATTGGACGGAGAATAGAAGCGTAAATAGAGGCAATGGCGAGAAACTTGGAGTGTGTCTCGTGCAATCTTCTAGAGTCCTAATCGACACAAATAGTTTGAGATATGCGTAACACGACGTTCCTTTTGCCATTTTGCAGCCTGCAGGGAAAACGAGTACGACTGCGAGGACGCTACGTGCATCGCCGCGGAATTGCTATGCAACGGAAAGGGGAACTGTCGCTTCCGATGGGACGAAGACGACACGATGTGCAATGTGAGTTTTAGCTTTGTCGAAATCTGATTCAATACTGCCCGATCTGTACGATCTGGCGAAACACTATCCAATTCCCGGATTCGAACCATTTCCGGCATGTCCTCCCGTATGTGCGCGCGCAAACCATTCACCCTTCGCGTCCGCCTCGCGAGTCACCCCTCTACTCGTTTTACAGGTTCTCGCCTTCTCGTAAAGTGGGAAAGTTAAATTGTGCGAGATGGCGCGAGCTCGCGAAATGCTTGCCGGCAAATAAGTATGGACCGTGAGACGTAAAGATAATGCATAACATTTTTCTAAGACATACCGCAATTGAAACGGTCATTGAAATGAAGAAATGCGAAGGTATTTGTCCCAGCCACAGAGAGTGAATTTCCGAGAGAGAGGAGAATCTGTTGAATATTAAATTTATCACGGTCGCGGTATTCAATGCGGGAATAAAAGGGCTTGCACGCATTGTCGTAAGGTCGGCCCACTTATGCCTCTAAATAATGTTTTCACTCGTTACAATTTAGCAACATTTCCTGTCTGGTAAACAGTCTCGTTCGCACATACCTTCGTCTTGTGCCATAAAGGTGTATGCAATACTGCAGTATAGGGGCAACGATACATCGCGTCGTCTTAATTGCCCTCCGAACTACCACTTTACTCGCTCCTGATCTTCCAGGTTAATTAATTTATTCGAGGGAAGTTTTACGGCCTTCTAGTCTAACTGGCACGGCGAACAAGGCTCCTCGGAACACCTAATCTCAGGGCGGCAATTTGCTTCCTCTAATTGCAAGCAAAATCAGTTTTGTAAGCCGCGCTTTTGTCTTTTCGCGTAATTCTGCTCTTCTCTCGCACCCTAAGCTAAACCGGTGTATGTGTGTGTGTGTGTGTGTGTGTGTGTTTGTTATTGCATTATCGAGTGCTGTTACGTTGTCTTTGGTCCAACTTAGCGCTACTAATTTGCCCCTCTTGTCATTCGGGAAAGTGAGAATGTCCATTTTTTAAGACACACAACGCTTATTTCTCCTATTTAACTTTTAATGCAATCGTACTTAAATCGACATTTTGATTGGCGCGCTTAACGGAGATGAGACTTTGCACAAAGAAATGTAATTTGATTCTTGAGATAGTCCGCGGAGAGATATCGCGGAAGGTATGAACCATCTCCTGAAATGGTAGTCCTTTTAGAATATGGCGAGGCAGTTCATGATCTTATGATAAACGTTGAGACTACTTCGTCCCAGGAACTTTGTAGTCCTTTAGCTGGGATTACGCAAGGCTTTTGGAAAGCTCATTTCACATCACCCGGCTTCAGATTCGGGATATGAAATTTTGTGGGAAGGCACGTTGACGAGATGTAATCATTTGACGACCTCTCGTACTGTGGCTTGCACATTCTAGGAATTGAAGTAGATTATTCTGCGAGCAAACTTTTAACACTTGCTAATAAAATACAATACACTACTCAATCTTTCTTCTTCGCCAATGAAAGTTAACGAAAGTTGTACTAAGAACGGGAATCATCATTATCCAGTTAAATATAACATTTATCAGTACTTGTTAGCATAAAGTCGATGTAAATGATAAGACTGTATAATCACTCTTTAATCATGATTTTTCAATTTAAGATTTCCGATCAAAGGTAATTTAGTTAAAGTTGAAGAAATGTTGAAGAAAAACGCATACGAGCTTCTTTGCTTTTATATACGAGGGCAGTCTGAGAAGTTCTCGGCCTAACAATGAAAGAAATTTTTTTTGCCGTGAAATATGTTTTATTTTTCAATATAATCTCTTGAAACTTCAATACATTTATTCCAACGTTTTTTCCAATAATTCAATACCATCATTAAAGTGTGATTCCGGAAAGTCGTTCTTTTCGCTCTGGTGTATAGTGGTGGATCCAAGTTTCATCAACAGTTATGAAACGACGCTTGAAATCCATTTTATTTTGCTTAAAACGATCCAAACACGCTTGAGAAATACGCATTCGAATGCGTTTTTGCTCAATTGTTAGCAAATGCCGGCATCCATCTTGCACAAAGCTTTTTCAACTGGTGCTACTACTCGAATGATTTGACCGATCGAATAAAATTTTACATGGGTTTATATCAGGGATGCCACTTTCCAATACAATTATAGTTTGACAGTATCTAATGCCATGTATGTGTCAGGTCGAGAACTTTTCAGACTGCCCACGTAGTATTATAAATACAGTGTCCCATTTTAATGTTCCACCCCAAATAACTCTTCAGTATAGAAGTTTCAAGGAAAATGATCTGAATAAAAGTTGTAGGGATTTAGGTGAGCTACTTTATGATGACCTTGACTTTGACCTTGACCTCTATTTTCAAGGTCATTTAAAGGTCAATTTGCATTTTTTAAATGGGAATCCTTATTTTTTATTACATTGTTTTTTTCTACTAGTACATTTGAACAACTTTTGTCTAAAACATTTTTTTATTTGTCCAATAGTTTTTCGAGATATTTGGGGAAAACTTGATAACTTTTTCAATATTTAACTTACGATATCTCACTAATTATTTGTCGGAAGAAAAAGTGATACTAGCTTTCTTGCTTTATTTAGTCTCAAGAATATATTGTTACAATAGCGCCCTGATTTTTGTTAATTTGATGATTTTGAAATTTCTAAAAATCAGTAAGTTAACAAAAGTCAAGACGCTATTGTAACAATATATTCTTGAGACTAAATAAAGCAAGTAAGTCTAGTATCATTTTTTCGTTCGACAAATAGTTAGCGAGATATCGTAAGTTAAATATTGAAAAAGTTATCAAGCTTTCCTTAAAAATCTCAAAAAATATTAGACAAATAAAAATATGTTTTAGACAAAAGTTGTTCAAATTAACTAGTAGAAAAAAAACAATGTAATAAAAAATAAGGGTTCCCACTTAAAAAATGCAAGTTGACTTTCAAATGACCTTGAAAATAGAGGTCAAGGTCAAAATCAGGGTCATCATAAGGTAGATCACTTAAATCCCTACAACTTTTATTCAGATCATTTTCCTTGAAACTTCAATACTGAAGAGTTATTTGGGGTGAGACATTAAAATGGAACACTCTGTATAGTATTTTATACAGTATTATATATATATATGTAGTATTATAATATTATATATCAGTATGTTATATAATATTAATTATAATACAGGGTGTCCGGGATCTTTCGGAAACGAAAAATTGTGAAGATTAATTAGATTAAAATGATAAAGAATGTCAAGTACCATTTTGCAAGAATCGCAATAGTCATTAAGTTACTAATGATTGAAAATTACCAGAGGCTCTTTTAATTGATAACTTGAAAATTTGCATACTTATTTGCAAAATGGTAAAGGACTTTTTAGGTCAGAATAATAGACATAATCTACAATTATATGACGGCTATTGTGCCTAATGGCTAAAGATTCAAGGTTCAAAGCTCAATATACTCATATCTATCGCCAGATATACACACATATATATGTGTGTGTGTGTGTGTGTGTGTGTGTGTGTGTGTGTGTGTGTGTGATTATGCGACTTTTACATCTTTTATTATGAGGTGATTAACCTGTAATTTAGAGATTTGTAGACTAAAACTTGTAACACGGAAACATCTTAGGAGCAGGATCTTGGTCATCTCTATCCATCACAAAAGAAACGTCTTTCGTTGAGAAACGTAACATACTGCCTGTATTCATTCGACACGTTCATTCAATTGTATAACTTTTCCGTATTACATCTTGATAACGACATATATATGCACACTATAAAACTCATGCTTCTCAAATATTTACCGCCGGTTTAATGAAGATTTGTATCAAACGTTGATGCATAATTTCACGCATGAGATGTAACACTAAATAGCCCGGTGGAATGACGGGCGGCTCTCTGTCAGAGATTTACCATAGTCTCTTATTTGTTAGAGCCATACCACGAATCCGGGATGCACGATCCCACGAGAGTCGTCTCTGCGACTTAATCGCCCTTCAACCCCGCAAAACGTCCCGTTCCCGTCTTGCCTGTTTCCCCCGCTCTCTCCTGTCACTTCACCGCTTCACGTTCTCTCGGTCTCTCTCCCTCTCTTTCTCCGGCCCGTCACTGCCTGTAGCATCGAGCTAATTAATTTATTCCGGCGAAGTTTTGCAACCGGGCGCGGCTCGCTTAGTCCAGGTTTCGCAAGAGCCCCAATCTCGAGGTCTCGCAATTCCACGGCGCTCTCCCTTGGTGATATTCGGATGTACGCTGCCGACGGTTATACGGGTGGGTGTTTCCGGTTCCGGGACGTACAATACTACGCGCTTTTGGCAGACTACCAGGACAAGGTACCGGCGAAACGACGGCGCGATGCCACCGACGGGATATTAATCTAACGGCGAATAATGCTCCTGATATTGCCGCAGCCGATTTCTCCGATGTTTCGTCGTGTATTTGATCACAATCGTTTTCGAAACGGGCACAAACATTAAGTTGCGCAAACTGCGCGAGCGAATCGAACGAACGGCGAAGAACGAAGTCGCGAATCGCGTTCCCCCGAGTCACCGCGCCGCAGCTCGATTATTAATATTGCGTTATCCTTGTGATGTTACAATGTCGATGCATTGTGATGTTGCAATCTCCCAGTCAATTTGTTCGGTCAATTATAAAAATACGGATTGTACAGGTGACCGACCGAATCTGCGACGAGGGGAAGAAACGACACGGTATAAATGGAAAATCTATCATTGCCACGTTTTGCCGCTGACTGATATAACAAATGACTGTTACGTTGAACTGTTATTACCCACCGTAAAAAGCGTAAATGAAGTCTGCGATAAAACGAAAAGGCGTTTCCCCTGCCTCCTCGAGCGATTTCCATTTAGCGAAATTATTTTCAATGCTCTTCAGGAAAATGGGTTGTCAACGCAAGTCAACAATTTCCTGTCGGAAACATTTTACAATCCAAAACACTCGTTCTCGTTAAACACGCCGATTCCTGACTTCTAATTTTCGCACAAACGGAAAAGATTGGGATTTTTCGCTT